AGGGAAACCTGCTGTGCTGCAGCGTGAGCCTCCGGTCCCGCTGCTGGGCACCGCCGGGCGCAGCCCGGCTCCGTCCTCTGCGCAGCTCCCTGCACGGACCGATGGCCGCGCCCGGGATCGCCCCGAGCCTCCTCTTCTGCAGGCTGAGCCGCCCCAGCTCTCCCGGAATCCCACCCCAGCCATTTCCCACGCGGTGCCGAGGAGGGGAGGGGACGCGGGGGGGAGCGACGGGGCCGGCGCTCGCAGTGCTACGACACGGCCGTTTGCGCCGCCCCGTCCTTACCCGGCGGTGGGTACGGGGACGGGGCGGCTTATTGGAGCTGCAGAAACGACCGCGGGCAGAAGCGCCGAGAAACGAACGGGAAACGTTTAATCCACGAACGCACACAGCGACAAACAGAGAAACGACCGCGTTGCCAACCGGCTCCCGTACAAACGGCGACTGCGGAGGACGGCTCGGTGCCGGCGGGGGATGGACAGGCCCCGCGCCGCCTTCCTCCGACCGCCCGGCGTCCCCGAGGCAAGGGGCGGGCGGCGGCGGAGCGCCGCTTTCCCCGCACGGAGCCCCGCGGCTCCGCCGCCACTGCGGAAGGGGCCGGGCGCTGCGCGCGGGGTCCTTTCCGCCCTCTGTCGCGCCGTCATTGCGTCATCACCGCGCGTCCCGCAGGGCCCCGGCCCGGCTGCCCGCGGCGATGCCTGCGGTTGTTGCGTTGCGGGAACTCAGCGCAGCCTGCAGAGAGCGGTCCGGCGGCACGGGAAGATGGAGGCCGTGCGGTGCGAGTGCCTCAGCGGTGTGTGCAGCCCGCGAGGAGCCGAGCGGGGCCGGGAAGAGGAAGCCGTGGGAGTCCCGGGGAGGGACGCGCGATGGCAGCGTCAGCGGCGGGCTCGGCTGCTGCCTCCTCCGCTCCTGACGCCGCGCGCTGGCGCACTTTGAGAAGCGCCCAGAAGCCGGAGCCCGCTGTCACATCTGTGGGGTTCCACGGAACGCGCAGACGTGGGGTGAGTTGAGGTTGGATATCAGGACCAACTGCTGTACGGAAGGGGTTGGTAAGCACTGCAGTGGGCTGCCCAGGGAGGGGGTTGAGTCACCATCCCCGATGTGTTTAAAAATCGTCCGGGTGCGGTGCTCAGGGCCGTGATTTAGCGGAGGGAGCAGCCTGGAAGGAGCGGTCCTTGAGAGCAGCCCTGCAGAGAAGGACCTGGGGGTCCTGAGGGATGAAAAGCTGGACATGAGGCAGCAGTGCTCCTGCAGCTGGGAAAGCAAGTGGGATCCTGGGCTCCATCAGCAGAGGGGTGGCAGCAGGGACAGGGAGGTGATCGTCCCCCTCTGCTCCGCTCTTGTGAGGCCCCATCTGCAGCACTGCGTCCAGGTCTGCAGCCCCCCAGTACCAGAAAGACAGGGAGCTGTTGGAGAGGGTCCAGAGGAGAGCCACGAAGATGATCCGGGGACTGGAGCACCTCCCCTGTGAGGACAGGCTGAGGGAGCTGGGCTTGTTCAGCGTGGGGAGAAGAAGGCTGCGGGGTGACCTCAGTGCAGTCTTTCAGTACCTACAGGGAGCCTACAAACAGGAGGGGAATCAACTCTTTGAAAGGGTAGATAACTGCAGGACAAGGGGAATGGTTTGAAGTTGAGGGAGGGGAGCCTGAGGTTGGATGTCAGGGGGAAGTTCTTTACAGAGAGAGTGGTGAGGTGCTGGAACAGCTGCCCAGAGAGGCTGCGGATGCCCCGTCCATCCCTGGAGGTGTTCAAGGCCAGGCTGGATGGGGCCCTGGGCGGCCGGGTGTGGTATTGAATGTGGAGGTTGGTGGCCCTGCGTGTGGCAGGGGGTTGGAGATTCGTGATCCCTGAGGTCCCTTCCAGCCCCGGCCATTCTGAGATTCTGTGAGGGTTGTTAGAGTTAGGGCAGTATGGTCAGGCTGCGGTTGAACTCGGTGCTCTTGAAGGTCCTTTCCAACGTGAGTGATTCTGTGATTCTGCGGGATGCTGTGTGCTGGATTGCTGTTCGTTGCAGAGCCACAACACAGGGCAGGACTGGGGACTGGGAAGATGGGGGTGGTGAGGGCAGTGTGCGGCCGTGGGCTCCTCCGGCGGTCCCAGGAAACATCTCCACGTGTCTGCGGCTGCGTGGAGGTGTGCGTGTCTCCTGCTGTACCAGAGATGGAGGGGATGGCGCTGACTGAGGGCAGGGACTGGAGCAGCACAAAGGCGCCGTGAGGCGGCCGCAGTCAGTCCGGCCGCAGCACAGACAGATGGCGCTGTGTTGGGTTTTCTTTCTGCCGGCTCTTTTGCACTCACAGCACTTCTGCCTCCCTCCTCTGTTGCACTGACCTTGCTTTTGTGCTGCGATCTGCCTGTTTAATAGCCCTGCTTCCTGCTTATCGTCGTGCTGTACAGTCACAATCACTTCACCAGCAGCTGTTTGCTGGAAAACTAATGCTCTCGCTGGTTTTTATTGCAGCTGCCAGCTGCTGGTGGACCTGAATGAGAAGAGATTGACCCAAAACTCGAATGATGGTGAGTGTGCTTGTTTGCTGTGCCACGCTGTGCCAGGCATTTGCTGCAATCAAGTCAGCGTAGGGAGTGTAGGTAAGCAGGAAGAGCACTGTCTGTCTGTCTTGTTATGAGTGGTAAATGTGTAACTTCTGTTTCTTCCTATAGAGGACAATGCACGTCTGCTTTTCCTGCTTGAGAAAATCCAACTGAATGCCAGCTGACAGAGGAAGTATTTTTCCAGATAAACTCTCTGGGCATGCTGTTCTCTCCTGGTTGAACCCACAAGGTTCCACCCATGCAGTGGTTATTCCTGTGCCCGTCTTCCAAAGCCCAGGCTCCATGAAGGTGAGCATTGTTTTGCTGATGATCTTCGTTGGAACACAACTGCCCTAAAAATTGTTGGAAAGTGGAAATGGAGCTGCCCTTCATGTCCTGAAATGCAGCTGCTCTGGAGGTGTGGGTCCTGGCAGCTTTGTGTGCATAGCTGTAGTCCTGGGGCTGTTGAGAGCTGGCTGTGTAGGGGCCTGGAGGTGGCACAAGAGCAGAGGGCACTTCTGATTCTTGTGCAAGCAGCCTGACCAGCTTCCATTTGTTGCTTGCAGGCACAGATGAAGATGCCATCACTGACGGCTTGACCAAACTCAATGCTTCCCAATGTCAGCGAGTTCTGATCACCTACAAGAGCACTCCTGCAGGTAGGTGCTCTACAGAGATGTGTGAACGTGGTTGGGTCACTGGGTGTAAAGCGAAAAACGACCCAGCCTCCATAAGAGAAAGGTCAGCAGAGACTTTACCTGGCCAAGGTTGTTTTGTTCCTGTTCAGTTCAGAGCAGTTGTTGATGCAAGGAGGGTTGGAGCCTGAAGAGAAGTGGTGAGCAGCTCAGTTCCTTCTGTCCTCGAAGGCCGCGCCTTCTGCCAGCTCCTTTCTCCTCTCTTGGCCTTCTAGGGCTTGATCGATGACTGGAAGTGACTTGAAGCTGAGTGGGAATTCTGAGAGGGTGATGATTGGGATGATGACTGCCAGCACCGTGTGTGACGTGCAGAACTAAGGAGGGCTGTGAAGGTTTGGAAGTCTTCCTTTCGAATGGCTCAAGTTCTGGCCAAGGACTTGCTGCTTTATTATGTATGTCTTCTTATTTATTAACTCTTAAAGAAACCTGGCTGCACGTCACAAGCAGGTGCTGGTATCTGAAATCTTGCTTGGCGATTCCCTAGGGAGCAGGAACAGGTGAAGGCTGCCTGATTGAAATTCTGGCTTCTCGCACCAGTGAAGAGATTGGTCGCATTGATGAGAACTGCGAGCTTTGTAAGCAGAGCAAAAGGCCAGGCCTTGTCCTGCTGCCTGCCATCAGTGTGTGTGTGTGCAGGCAGGCGTGATAGGAAGGAGTCTGGGGAGCTTTCAGGTGTGACAAACTGGCCAACCTGGGTGTTGCTGTTTATGCAGAGAGAAGCTAGACTGGAATTTCAGCAGCAGCTGAACTGGTGTAACTGAAATGGGGAGGAGCATTCTGTCTGTCAGCGGGACGTGTGGCTCTCTTGCCAGTTTCTTGCTGTCTGCGCTTCTTAATTGGAGGCTGCAGCACTGATGATGATGGCTGGAGCGCTGCAGTGATGCTGAGAGCCCTGAGCCCAGCTCTGCACGTAGCAGGTGATGGCTGGCAAATGTTGTGGGCAGCACCCAGGCGGTGGCCCTGCTCCTCACGGGTGCTGTGTGTGTTCCTGCTGGAAGCTGGCTGCTCCCTTGAGGATGGCGTCGTATCTGACACATCTGCCGTGTTCCCAAGGGTCCTCGTGTCCCTCGCGGCGCTGAGCCACGCTGAGGGAGAAGGGGCTGAATGTTCAGAGCTGTGGGCACAGCTCTGCACTCAGTGGTGAGGAGCTCCAGGCTGGCTTTTTCTCACCCTGTGCGTCCCATGGCTGCTCCTCAAGCCCAGCTTCTGCAGGGAGGGGGCTCTGACTCTGGGTGTGTGTGAGTGCTGTGGGCTCTTCTTTAAACATGCCAGTAAAGTGGGTTGCTGCTCGTTTCAGAAGGAGCCCAAAGCACACCTGAGCTGCGTTTCGCTGTGTTTGTGAGCTGTGTTCCCTTTGAAGGACTCCATTATCCATCTCCAGCACCCGTTCCTGAATGGGGAGTTCTCAGGAGTTGCTTCCAGTAGATGCTCTGGTGAACCGAGTCTTCTCTCCTTGTGTCCTTGCAGGGAACAGAGGTGAGGGAATGCATGTGGATGATGGCCTTGCTCAGCAGATGCTCAGGTGTGTAGCAATGTGCTTCCCAATCTATTCTTGTGCGTGTGATGCGTGGTGAAGAGAAGCCAGCCTGTGAAATGGGAATAATGGCTCTAGTCTCGTTTGCAAGCCTCTAATGAGAGTCTGTAGACTGGCTGGCTGCTTGGCAGGGCAGTGACATTTTGGCTGTGGGTTGCCGTGCCTGGTTGGTGCTTGCTGGAAAATATCCATGGTCTAGACAAGCACAGGCCAGCAGTGCTCTAGCTGCAGGAATTAAAGATCTCCTGTATGCCCAGCCTTCTCCATCAGCGTTACTTTGTCATCCACAATGTCTGTCAGTGCCTGTACGAAGCGGGGGAGAAGAAATGGGGAACAGAGGAGGTGCAGCTGAGGTCCGTCCTCTGTACACGGAACAGGGATCACCTGCTGAGAGGCAGCACCCCTGCACAGTGTGCTGGGTTTTCCTTCCCTTCCTTGTTTGTGCGTGGTGCCCTTGCAGGAGCTCCGTAGCTGTTCAGTGGATGTGAACTCCTCTGAGGCAGCAGGTGTCCTGGAGAGAGCCCCAGTGCATCCATTCCGTTCGGGCTGTTTCATTCCCTCCTGAGACTGAAAGGGGCTTCAGAAACCTCAGTACAACCGGCTGCAGCTCCAGCATGGAAAGCAGAGATCACAAAGTGATCTCCACGTCCTTGTGGAGCTCCAACTTGTCACCTTGCTCTCTGAGCGTGGAGCACGACCAGCCGTGCTGTGCTCTGTGTGTGTGTTGCCTGTGGGGCTGGAGGTGGGGAAGCTGCCCCAGTGACTGCAGAAGGGACTTTGGCTGCACTGTGCCTGCTTACAGGTCAGCCTCATCATCTTGCTCTGTTTGCCTTGACTGGTGGGAGCGTAAGCCACCAGGTTTGTGTGTGGAGCCTTTGCTCTCAGCCCATTGCTGTCACTGGAATGGTAGCTATTAAAGAAGGACTGTCCGTAAAGCGCGTCTCATCAGCACTGCCTGATGCCTCCTACCGAGCTGCCTTGTCCTGGGGTTGCGTGCCAAAGGTGCCAGCACCTCCTGCTGGGACTCCTGGACACACTGCCCTTAGAACCCTGCTCGTGGTGCCTTTGTGATGTGCAGTTCTCTACCAACCTCTGGGTTACACCTTTCTCCTAAGCCCCACGCTCCTGCCTGCTAAGCTGTGGTTCTTAGCACTACAGAACGTGGCTCTTGTTGGCTTTTGCAGGTGTTTGTAAGTGGTGGTGATGTTGGAAATGCCCAATAATTTTCCAGGACGGTGTCTCTGATAAAGCAAGTTTTATTTGCAATGGCAGTGTTGGGCCTCCTGCAAGCAGGAGCGTGCACAGAAAGCAGTGCTGCACCTTTTATGCCCTGCTGCCCGACGCTGATCCCTTTCTGCCCTGGCTCCTCACTGCTGAGTGCTGCAGGTTCGCACTCTGTTGCGACACTTCACTGATCCCACAAATAGCAAGTGCACACAGATCCTTGCCATGCAGACACAAACATCTCCGTTGGTTAATGGCCTTCTGACCGTTGCTTTCTTAACAAACATCTGGTCATCACTTTCGGATGCCTGCTTTACAGCATAAACGTAAACCTGACCTCTTCATTGTTTAATTACCCCCTTGGCATTTGCGCCCTTTACACTGGGTCACCGTTCTGGTCATCCGTCTGTCCTTGGATCGAGATAAGCTTGGAGGGAGGATAGAGGGGAGCATCCTGGATCTGCCTACGGCATCCTGACATTGCCACAGAGCGGGACAGCTGTGCTTTGTGTAAAAGCCCTGGCTCCTTGAAAGCTTGTTAAACGCATTTCACGTTCGCTGGCTCACCAGTCTTACAGCACGTTTTCTAGTTCAGAATACTGTACCTACATTGTTTAAAACGTTTAAGGTCTATGCAAATGTGTGAGGAAGAATGTGTCGCACAGCGCAGTAACTGTGTGTCTAAAGTGTGTTCCTGATATGCAGATGATATCTCTCCTTGTCACATCAGCTACTCCTACAGACAAGTTACGGAATGCAAACATGTCGTGTTCTGTTTCTTTAGGTCAGTTGTCCATCTCAACATCCAGCGCAGGAACAACATTTCATTCCCACAGTGCATAATGCTGTGAAGGCATCGCAGGCCGCCCGCTCGTCTCCGCCATGCTCAGGGGCTTTGCTGAGCTGCAGGCCCAGCGCTGCAGCCCCACAGCACAGCCTCACGTCTGGTGACGGACTGCAGCTGGAAAACCCTGGCAGCGGAGGACGCTCCTGCCCCACAGAAGGACTCGCAGCTCCAGCGCCCTCAGTGCTGGAAGGAGGCTGCGGTGCCTCCACGCGATGGATGCGGTCCACCCGACAGCTCGTGTGGCTCACCGTGCGAGGCCAGCAGGAAGAAAGGTGGGCACGGGTAAGGCTGCATCAGAAGTGAGTGCAGAGCTGTGGGGCCGGTGGTCCAGGGTGCGGGGGCCCAGGTGGTGCTGCGGGACAGGCGTGACAGGAGGGCACTGGTGGTGCTGCCCGTCCTCGGCTGCAGGACTGGTGCTGGTGGCAGGGGCTCGGGTTCTGTGCCTGCAGCACCGATTTGCGGGTCGGTGTCTGCGTGGGAGGGATGGCACCCATCTCTCTAAGGGAGGCGAGGATGTTTTCGTCAGGAGGATGGCAGCTTCACAAGGGAGGCTTTGAACGAAGAGTGGGGAGAGCTGCTGAGCAACAGGATGGGGTGATGCGAGGGAGAGGGAGCAGAACATCGGCACCTGCAGGGTGGCAAGGAAATGCCTGGAGGCACCACGATGGGGAGATCCCCCAGAGCTCCAGAGGAGGTTCTGGTGGGTAACGGGGGGAGGCTGCTGGGAGAGAGGAATGGATGGACAGAGGGATTGACGGAGGAGAGAAGTGTTGGAGGGAGGGAGGGAGGGAGGGAGGGACAAAGGGACGGAAGGGCCGTGGGATGGATGGAACGCTTGTTGGATGAGAGGATGGATGCAAATACAAGTGGATGGAGGGATGGCCAGGAAAATAGGATTCCTGCCCCAGAGAGCAGTGTGCCCCCATGGGCACCTGTGGGGGTGGCCCTGAGGGTATGGAACCCACCTGCCATTGCCTGGAGCCCATCGGTTCGTTGTAACAGCAGTACGCTGACAAAGTGCCTGCTGCAATCCTTGAAACCACGGCGTGCTCGTGGATTTTGGCAGCCAACTGACAACGTGGTTTCAACATTGCTGAATATGCATTTGTTCTCCAGCAAAACAGTTCAGCATCTGCAGAGCGCTGCCAGTAACTGCAGTGGAACAGGGAAGAATTGTGAGAACAGATTTCTGCCTAGAATGCTTTCCAATTTAGTAACTAATGCATTTTATTTTTACTCTTGTAGGATTATCATGAGTTCTAGATATGCAGCTAAAAGAGTCTGAAAACCAGGAGTCCAAACCCTTGTCTGTGGAAGGCCCACCTAGCTACCCAGCTCCCGAGCAAAGAAAAGGAAGAATCAAGTCTTCAGTCAGCACACACACTCCAGTCAGTCAGCTCCGCAATAAAAGCTACCTTTTCCATGCACCTCCACTTACGTGTGGCAGAAAAGTGTTCTGGGCATTCAGCACATTGGATTCACATTCAATTAGCAATCCAAACTCCAAACAGTTATTTATGATTTCTTCTCTCCTTCTGCACTCTCATTTCCTCAAAGGGCGCTGCTTTACCCTGACTGGGCTGGCTCCTGCTTTTATCTTCACTGCTATTGGGGCTGCATTTTAGGCTCTGCCAGGCATCCCTGGTAGCCACACTCCTAAGTGCACGTGGTGTAAGATTTCTGTAACTTCTGGGGGGACGACCTTGTTTTTCCCAGGTTGTGTTAAAGCCAGAGGAGGGGGAGATGGTGGGGAGGGAATGGGGTGAGGGGTGGGCGATGGGGAGCTGGAAGGGATGGAGTGGGGGGGGTGGGGGAGGAGAGCGTAATGGAGGACGTGGAAAGAGATGGATGGAGAACAGAGGGGAGAGGATGGGTGGAGAAGAGGATGGGTGGAAAACGTGGAAGGAGAGATGGACAGAAGCGAAGGGATGGAGAACAAGGGACCAAAGCACCAAACCCCTCTCACCTTTGGGCCCAGCTTCTTCTCCTTCCGCGCAGCTCCTACGGCAGGCAGGGCCTCAGCTCTTCCCACATTCCTCCCTTCCTGCAAGGTTGCTTTTTTTCACGCCTACTTTGCTGTGCTATGGGTAGCTTTCCTACTTGCTTTCCTGTATATGTTACCATCCATTGCTTTTCACTTTTTATTCTCTTTTTGTTTCATTATTTTCCCTTCAACCCTCCCCACCCCCTCTCTCCTCTCCTCACCCCTACCTCCCATTTTTTCCTCCCCTCCCCCCCCTACTCTTTCCTCACCTTATGGCAAACTTTCCCAAATAGCTGCAGGCTTCTCCAAGTGCAGATTTGCCTGCCAGGTCTTAATAGACTAAGATGCAACTTTTTAGGAACAAACAAAGTCAATACAAAACAAAAGAACAGAAGAACAGAAGAAACCCAAACACATTTCCACAGATGCCTTTGTTCACACCTACCCATTTCAATCACTGGATGTAAGGGAAACAGAGGGGCTATTCCACTGAGCTGAGGCTTGGCTCTTGGTGAGAGGTATTTTCTGAATGGCAATTTTTCATTTCGCTTCTGCTTTTTAACTTTCCTACATGTGCACATGTAGCACTGGGAACAGGAGCTGTCAGGCACACAGAATTGAAGGAATCCCATGGAACACCAGTGTGAGGTTGGCATTTCCACTGAGCCGTCAGATGCACACTGCAGGATTGTTCTGGGACCTGCAGCAATGATTCTGCACATCTCCTGAGAAAACTGATAGCACTGCACAGCATCCAGGGCAAGGAGAACTTTCTAAACGGAAAAACAGGTCAAAGAAACGGCAAAGGAATGGAGAACAGGAAGGATTAAAATTTGCAGTAGCAGCTTGAGAGCTGTCTGATAGACTGCAAGAAAAAAAAACAGAAGCATTGGTCTTCTGTCCATCAAATAAGTACAAAAATGACAAAGCTAAATGTAACATAAATTACATTAACTGGCTGCTGTTAATAAACAGACATGCACATCTGAAATGCTCCACAGAATTCCCAGAGATCACACCTTGCCACAGATGCCCCAGGTACCCTGAAAGGCAGTAAGATTTGTGAGCTGCGTTTCTGAGCTCTGTTCCAGAACTCAGTGAAGCTGAGATGACAGACAGCAGGACTTCAAATGCTGACGTACCAAACTGACACCAGGATTTCCTGCCTCTCTTTAATCACGAGCAGTTTTGAGCACAGCATTACTGCAACCGCAACGTTTCAGTTCACTTCTAGAGCCTTCTGCCAGACGTGGGTTTCAGAGAGGGACAGTAGTCCAGGGGCTCAGGCACTTGCTGTGATCCAGGGCTGCAAAT